AAAAAAAAAAAAAAAAGATTTTAAGCAGAATGATTTTGAAGGTTTCATGGATTTTAGTCATCTTAGTATTGACAATGATTTTCACAGCTACCTAAGACTTTATATTGAGGACACCAAGGTCAAACCAGGCAAGTAAAGTGTACTCCAGAAGAGTATGAGGAGAAATATCAGGATGGAGTTCACACGTTTTGGAATTTAACACACGGCTCTTTAGACTTCTGGCTACTACACCACTGGGCCAGATGCGCTAATTTTAGCATGTTATACGTACTAGTTAAGCAACAGGATACTGAGATCACAAAAAATTGTTTACTTTATAAATTCGGTTAGCAGAGTGTCTCTATTAGTGGCCTACCCTAGGATATTTTAAGCAATAATAAGTTTTATTTCTAGACAATTTTTGTGAAGTTTATTTTGCCTAAAGCAGGCACATGGTTCAGTTGTTAAAAAAATAAAAAAGATAAGGACATAATCTAAAAAAGTAGGCATTGGTTTTTTACTACTTTATGGCTTTGAAAATCATTCTGAATCCTCTCATAGAGTGTTTACTACACCAGCTAGCAGTAGGATTTAACATTAAATTTTCATTTTGATTAACTTGACTGCTGTTGTTTCTTGGCTGCCTCTTTAGAGCCCACTGTGGAATAAAATTAAAACAGTTTTTATGATATAACAATTTAGTTGCAGAAAATAACATTTTTCTCTGCTCCCCGAACGCGGTGCGCTCTACTGCTGGGTTTCTGCATACGCCCACGACTCTGCTCTCTCCATTCTCGGATCCATCTTTTCTAGTACCACCAGGTTAGTTTTCCTAAAGCTGAGCTTTGGTCATTTTCTGATCCAGAATTCTTCAGTGGTCCACTATCGTCTCCCTCTCATCTAAGCCTAACGCATTCTTTAAAGAACAATGGCTCAAATGCTGTATTTTCCCTTTTATGTTTTTCTGGACTTTGTGTGCTGAAGTCCCCAGCTGCGCTCTGGATTTCAGCCTCTTGTGTAACCCCCATCATGCCCTTTCTTACCTACAATTATATGCAGACACAACGTACCCTCAAGAATGACTTCTTGAACGCAGGGGTCAAGTCTTCTTTGTGCTTTTTGCCCACTCCCCCATTGACTCGTGCCTAAAAGATAGTAAATGTTTATTGGATAAATGAAGAAAATTCAAAAATAACAAACATGTGAACTGTGCCCTCTCCTATACTGCTGATCCTCTTACCCTTTTCCTTTTCCCCACAGCACCTCCGCCTTTCTGATTAATTTGTAATTTAGTTACTTGTTTTTGTTGGTGGTAATGGTTGTCCCCTCTCTTTTGGACAGTAAGTGCCGCAGGGCAGGGACCTTCCTCTTATTCATTGATGTACCCTTAGCACCTGGGGCAGTGCTTGTCCTATTCCAGAAGTGAGCAAATGAAACCTAAAACCAAAGGCCAGCTTCTCCCTATTTATTGGAGTGGGTCACTGGTTTCCAAGGTAAGGAACATTGTGGTGTTGGAAGAACAGGCAAGAGATGTAGAGAGACCCTGAAGTCACCTGATGTCATCTACTAGCCATGTGGCTTTGGGAAAGTTTCTTGACTCCTCTGAAGATCATTTCCTAATCTGTTACTGGATATGAACTAAATTATTATAAAGTGGTTATATAGGCTCGGTGCCTATGACTCAAGTGGCTAAGGCCCCAGCCACATACACCTAAGGTGGCGGGTTCGAATCCAGCCTGGGCCACCAAAACAACGACGGCTGCAACCAAAAAATGGCCAGGCATTGTGGCGGGTGTCTGTGGTCCCAGCTACTTGGGAGGCTGAGGCAGGAGACTCACTTGAGCCCAGGAATTGGAGGTTGCTGTGAGCTGTGATGCCACAGCACTCTACCCAGGGGGACAGCTTGAGGCTCTGTCTCAAAATAAATAAATAAATAAATAAAGTGGTTATATAAAGATTACATTGTGGTGGGGGGGAGGAAAGCACCCAGTGAATTAATAGCTTGCGTTTCCTGATCACTCCCAACATGCCACACCTTTTCATTCCTGCCACGTGTTTCTCCATGACTACTCTGCAAAGCGGGATTGTTGTTACCCCAATTTACAGGTGAAAAGGAGGAATTAGGTGCCTGCTCGAGACCACACAGCAGTGGGGGGCAGAACATGGACTTGAGATCAGGTCTGCAGACTCTAAACCTGGAGGTTGTGACTCGTCTGCCTGCTGTGTGTCCTCTCCACCTGCCCTCCTGGAGGGACAGGCAACATCTGAGTCTTTCCTCCCTGCCCTGACTGCGCTGAGGGATGCAAAGAGCTCATGAGACCCAGTGGCCCCCAGGAAGTGTGTTTATGAAATAGCTGAGTCCTCGCAAATGTGACAGGCAGGGGAGCCTGGTTGGAAAAGTCCCTCTCATGAATTGGGTCCTCCATTCCTGTTAAAGATGTGCCTCTAACTTCCAGGTCTGGTTGTTTCTGTCCCTTCCCACCCCATAAAGCTTTTAACTTTGTATTTCGTACTGCAAAAATAGAGTATTTCTGCATTAAGACTGTTTAAAATACTGTTGCATTATTTGTTTGGAAACAAATTAGATGGTTTATGGTTGGAATAACCAAGTCCATCATCACATCCTTCTCTGTTTATTGAGAAAATACCGAAAAGTTCTAAGAATTTTTGAGACGCTTATAAGTGCCATTTCAAAATGCACAGTTAAATCACTAATAACTTAATTATTGTAATTTCATAAATGTAACAAATAAGGAAGGCTGTTTCCTGTGTAAAAGAATTAGTCTTTTCAGGTATTTTCATTGAGCATTTAAAATTACTAAACCAGGATTAATGAGATGGATTATTTCAGCATCTAAAAAAGTCTTTTGTGTTTTAAGGAATGGATTTCTCTTTTGAAGTAGTTTGTCATTAGTTCAAAGGCTAAAAAGTTACTTCAGAAAACATTAAATGAACAATAATTTCATTTTTATATTATAAATCTTTATTATTTTTAATTGATGGGAGGTCAAAGAGAACTGGCAAACATAAAATTTAAAAGACATTTAATTTTAAGTACTCTTTCAACAGAGATAAATTTATTTATTTTCAGCAGCTTTATTATAGTGATTAAAAACATAAGCTTTAGAATCCCTCTGACCTAGGTTTGAATCCTTGCTTTTCTGCTTATTAAATCTGCGTGCTTAGAAATGTTACTTAACATTCTGAACCTTGATTTTTCTCACCCGCATAAAGGAGTAATTACTACCTCCTAAGGTTATCTTGTTACTTGAAATAATATGTGCAGAGAGCATCTAAACAGCACCTCATGTATTGTTGGCAGTTAATGACTGTTTTGTTATCTTTGGAATATAATCATTTGGGTATAGTGAAATATTTAAGTATCTCTGCAAATAAACAGGAAACATTTTTATGGAATCCTGTGTACAGTTGTCAACTTGGTTATATATACCTTTTTTTTTTTTTTTAACTAATTCTAGGTGAATTTTATCTCATTTTGGGATAGACTATCAACTCCTGCATTAGCAAACTTTGAACTAATGAAATTCTATTACAGGGTGTGGAATAAGCAGATATGAATTCTAAGTTTCTTATATAAAATCGTATGTTCTAGGAGAATGCATAGAAGGGCTGCGGGAAAACGACTACCTTCTGATTCATTCGTGCCGTCAGTGGACCACCATCACTGCCCACAGCCTGGAGGAGGGACACTATGTCATTGGGCCAAAGATAGAGATTCCGGTACATTATGCAGGTAAGACTCTTCTTAATGGGCAGGAAAGGTCAGAGAGAAGGGGACTTGAATAGCTGATTTCCCCCCCCTCCCCAGGAATTATCTGTATACTAGAGAAAAGGAAAGGAAAAGGAATCAAATACTCTTGTGTGTTTATTTTATGGGTCATTGAAAACTCAGAGTCATCATGTCATAGATATTTCTGATAAATGCATGTAAGTAAATGAGAATTCTTACTAGCTATTTATAAGATGAAAATTTTGCAAACACAAAGAACTTCTGTGTAGTTGTGGTATTAAAATCAATGCATGTAGCTAACTTCTGAGCTGTAGGTGGTCCTGTTTGAGAATAACCTTTTACACAACTTGAACATTGTTTTTCACATGATACAATTGGAGTCTGGCTTAAATTGGACTGGAAGTTCAGATACCTGGACATGTCCCTCTTTTTGACTAGATATGTAAAACAGGTAGCTGAGAAGACCACATTGCTCTAGTCAAAGGAAGTTACTAGCTGTCTTCTCACCTCACTGTGAACTCCATTCAGTGCAACAATGTCATTGATCTAATTTTGACTGAGCACATTTTATGTGCCAGCACTGCTTTAGAAATTTAAGATACATCTAGTGGCTTGAATAAACTTTCAGTAGTAGTGGCAATGTAGTAAATGTAGTTTTTAAAAAAAAACATAAATTACCCTACACTTTGTTCAGCTGCTTACAGTTTATTATATGAAGACTCTTAAGCTTTTCTCTGTTACTCAATTTTTTTTTTAGATTTTGAGACAGAATCTCGCTTTGTTGCCCGAGCTTGTGTGCAATGGTGCAGTGACAGCTCACTGCAACCTAGAACTGCTGCGCTCAAGCAGTCTTCCCATCTCAACTTCCCAAGTAGTTGGGACTGCTGGAGTGAGCCATCACACCCCTCTCGATTTTTTAAAAGTCTGAAACAGACACTTTTAATCAACTAGCTGTAAATCGGGTAGCCCGAGACAGCCATTGTTTTTTTTGAGTGACACCTCCACAATGCCCCAAGAGTTAACTGGAAGAGAGGACCTTGCAATATCCGCCTGTCTAGACAGCAGCAAATGGCATGTGCTCAGTAAATATTTAATGATTAATGAATGATCGGTTTGGTGCCTTGTTTGATTCCTAAGAGTCTTCAATTTCCAGTATGTCCCAGCTTCTCAAAAATCCTACTCGTGCAAAAAATTTGTAACAAAGAAAGAATTTCTATGCCCTAAAGTCTTGTCCTCTAAGAGAGTAGTCTTACATCTGTGAGATTGGGAGCCAGGCAAACAGGGCCATTTTTGTAGGGCAGAGAGCTAACTGAACCTTCCTACCCTAATCTCTGCTCCAACTGGTTCTCACAACTGGTGAGATTGATGGTATTTTTGGCTGGCCCAAACTCTGAGTTCCATCTTTGTGGAAAACCAAAAAAAAAATGTAAATTACTACTTTGCTTCATCATATAAACTATTTTACCTAATCTGCTATATTCTTCTATTAATAGATTAAGTTTTAGTCATTTTCCCAAAACCCTTGAGAACAGCTCTGACAAATCAGTTTTTCCAAAAGAATGCTTTCATGTTATCATTTCTCAAATCCCCTCGGACTTCATACTGCCCCACTGGGGTCTTTGGTTGCTGAAGGCCCTCTAAGGACCAGTTCTAGGGAACTTCTCCAAACAACTTATCTCCACTACTCCAAATGAACCTCTCACCCAGTGATTCATCGTATCACTGTTTCCTGAACATACCAGACACTTTTCTATTTCCATCATTCCCCAGCTGGAGTTGATACCTGTGCTACTGCTCCCAGCCCCTCATGGCATCCCCTGCTGCCCTGTGTGGCCTCATTCATCTGGCACAAGTCCTCAGTCTCCGTTCATTACCTTTAACTGTGTGCACTTGACCTTCACTCATCAATCGAGCTATATACTCCTTCATAAGTTATAGCAATTCTAAAATAAAACTTGTTAATCCATTAGATCTGTACACAAAAGATACAATTCGTTGTGGCTGTGGAGGCTCCAACTAGGGATCACAACCATTGCTACCACTGGTGTCACCTGGGGAGTTTTCAAAAGACGGCTGTCTGAGTCCCACCCCTA